TCTCTCTCCCTTCCACTGTCTCTGAAAAACAATGGAAAAATATCCTCAGGTAAGGGTTTAAAAAATAAAAAATTGTTGGGTTGCTAGCCTCGCTTTGCAGGTAGGAAACCAGTGAAGAGGAACGAAGTCACTTGCCCCAAAATGACGTTTCTTTATAACGATCCTTCCCCAGCGGGGAGTTTCCTTTGCTTGCAAGTATTTTTGGACTCACTTCTGTGTATGTCTGAGTAGCTCCTGCTGTTGACAACTGGAAAAGGGAAAGCGGGTGGAAAAGAGGCAGGGACCGATCGGAATTCTGTGGGAGGGAGACAAAGAGTGGACGCAGCTTTCCCACGTGCGGGGTGCTTTCCACGAGGGGGGACTGGGGTGTATTGGGTCTGAAATGATGGGGGGTGCCGGCAGCTGCGGTCCCCTGGGGCCGGGAGGTAGACGCGCGTGACTCACTCAGGCACCCCCGGGTCCTCTTACTGACGCCCCTCGAGGCATCCCCCAAACCCCAAGGGACTCCACTCTGGGGTCAGCAGGTGGAGACACTGACTCTGAGACCGGAAAGCAGAGGATTTTAACATGTAGACGGAGGGCCGGGCAAAGCACACAGGATGCTTCTAGCTGCGCACCCGACCCTTCAGAAAGCAGGGCCGGGCAGGCGGCTCACCGAGGACGCGAGGGACGGGGGCCTGCGGAGCCTCCGATGAGCCCGGGCGGTGCGGGGAACCAACAGGCCTCGCCGCAGGTTAGGGGCGGGGTGTCCCAGGCCCTTCCCCCCTGGCGTGTTGCCTGTATGGTTTATCTTTGTGAATTCTATTTCTCACTCGAGGCCTCGTGTTTCTTAGCCTGAGAACCTCCCACCCGGCCCCAGGTGTACACACACACACAACTAAACCATGGCTCAGCACTCACACCGCTCGACCTGGGGGCCGGGGACATCAGCGCACACGTGGTCAAGGCCACAGGGAGGTGGATGCTGTGCGCTTTGGGATGAGGGATTCTGCCTGGGGGCCGAGGGGGAAGGGGCGGAGATGGCCTTTGGGCAGGGCCACAGAGGGAGGCTATGGGCTCTCCTGAGAGCCGGGGGGACGTTTCCCACGGAGAATACAGCACAGGCAAAGGCCCTGAGGTTGAGGTGGCTCGGCTTGTTCGGGAGCCCCTTGCCTGTGATGACGGAGCAGGGGGAGGGGAGGGGACTCTCTCATGGACCCTCCCCACCCCCAGGCCAAGCCATTGGCTGTAGGCAGCCTGGAGCCAAGGGAGGATTCTGAGCCTCACGGTGTTATTAGATCTATTTTTGGAAATACCTGACAGAGGAATGACACATGCTTGGGAAGGAGAGAGGGCTTTTGGCCACAGGAGAGAGGTGAGGGCCTCGGCTGGGCAGCAACCATGTCTAGAGGACTGGAGACCCGCCAGGGAGGTACCCGGTTATGGGCCTGTCAGGGTGAGTGACGGATGAGATGCTCCAGGTGACAGGTAGGGAGGGGCTGGCGATTGATAGTGTGGGTGATGAGGGGGATGGTGCGTAATGAGACGGCGCAGAGAGCAAACAGGTGTGGGTGGAGGTGTGGGTGGAGGTGTGGGTGGAGGCGTGACGTACTCTGGTCACAGATGCCCATGTCTGCCCCGTCCTAGCAGCACTGGGGTTCTTCATTCCAAACTGGCACCACCAGGGGCTCCGGTCTTTGGGAGGCTGGAAGCTGGTGGAAACCACAGGTGCCGGAGCTGGGCTGCCTGGGACAGATCGTCTCAGTGTCCCCGTGTGTGAAATAATAGAGAACCACATCACAGGGTCGATCGCTCAGAGGGTAAAGAGGCGATACACGTCCGGCGCTCGGCACAGCACTGGCACGTGAGCACTGTCTAGGTACTCGGGAAGGCCGTGGGCATGCCAGGGGCAACGTTATGCCCATTTCCCTCCTTCTGCTTGAAAAGTGCTCCAGTTTGATCCACAGCGATGTGGAAGGCAGCCAGCCGAGTCCATTCATTAAACAGCAATCACAGGCCTGCAGTAACTGATAAGAAAGTAGGGCCCGGCCGGGCGTGGCTCAGCAGTTGAGCATCAATCTAGGATCCAGGAGATCGGGGATCGATCCCCGGTCAGGGCACAGGCCCAGGTTGCAGCTCGATCCCCAGTCGGGGGCGTGCAGGAGGCAGCCGATCAATGACGACTCATTATTGATGTTTCTATATCTCTTCCCCTCTCTCTGAAATCAATAACGATATATTAAAAAAAAAAGTAGGAAGCTTTTTGTAATTTCCCCCTTTGTACATCATTGCTATCATCAGAAACACTCGTTGGACATCTGCGGGATGTAGGGTTCCATACGGAGCCACGAGAAGCGGCCCCCAGTCTCCGAGGCTCACTGCCAGTTAGGGAAGCAGGACACAAGCCTAGGTCATCTGCGCGAAACGCGAGGCGAGTGCTGAGGAATCGAAGGACTGCGGGAGGAGCTGGGCAGCCCCACCCTCTGTGCCTGGGGGCGGGAGTGGGGGCCATGTGGTAGAGGGCAGACTCGGAGGCCACCCCACCCACTCGGGTCCTCAAACCTGGGTGACGAGGGGAGCCCCCAGCGGCAAAGTGTTCAGGAGAATCACCCCGATTCTGACGCAGGTCCCTGGAGAAACTGGATAGACAGTGAGGAGCAGAGGGGTGGACAGGTGCATTGTGTTTTGGCGGAATTGACAGCAGCCCTGGGGAGTGGGAGAGGCGGCCCTGCCCCGGGCCCCAGGCCCCGGGCGAGGGCCTGCCTAGGGGACAAGGGGCCCCAGGCAGGGGAGGCCTTCCCAGGGAGACTGGTATTCTGGTGTGAATTTCTAAGCAGAGAAAGGTAAAAATAAGTGAACATGTTTCATAATATTTTCTTGACCTCTAACATGGGAAAGAATATATTTCTACTTTTCACCCTGAACGTTTGAAAACCCAGGGACCACCTTTCTCACTGCACGTGAGGCTTATCCACTTAATCTGAATTAACATGGAAAATGGTGACAAACGTCATTACATTTAAGTGAGGTTTTAGCTTAAAAATTCCTTTGGGAATATCGGTGAGTCACCCAGTTCAACGCAAATATCCACAAATCATGCACCAATTGCTCCAGAAGGAAATGACTGTTGCAGAAGGGCAGGAGGCCACGTGAGCCGAAATACCAGGTCCTTAATTTATAAAGTCAATAAAAGACTCTTTTGTGAGCTCTTCTCAGGTCCTGGAGCATTATCAGTGAGTCTGGCGCTAAAATCACTTTATGCTTAAATACTTCACAAGGGCACAGGACACGGGAAACATAACCTGAGAGCTTCCTGAAAACATTTTGTGGGAGACTTAACGCTGTGGATTCACTCAACTTTCAAGAAGGCGGAGGCACCTTAAACTTAAGAATCATTGGCTCTGTGCTCAAGATAAACACGCAACAGAACAATCCCAGGACCTTTACAGCAGCCACTCTCTGCAAACTACTCAGGCTTCCCGAAGGCTCAGGGAGAAGGCTCCTCTCTAAGTGATGCACCTTTCGGCGGAGATATGCGTCGGGTTGAGTTAATACCGATTTTTTCTTCTAGGTGGCTTTGTGCCAATGGAAGAAGAAAACAACAAACCACACCCAGAGATAACAAAGAGCTGTAGACACCCCCAGCCTGGGCGCCCCTCCTTTCTTTGGGCGTGAAAAGGCTCCGCTCCTGTGCGGCGATGACAGGCTGGCCGCCCCCTGGGAGCAATAAGGCCCCGGCGCATCGCCTGTCCGCCACCATCACACCCGCGTAATGCCCACTGACCTGATGGGAAAGCAGCCAAGCTGGCAGGCAGGGGCCGCGCCCAGACTCGGCCTAAAGAAATCTGCTTTTTTTTTAAGGATTAAGAGAGAGAAAAACCCAACAAAACTATGTTCAAAATGTATGAGATTTCCCTGCAGGTTAATGAGGTATTTGGGACAATGTTCTGTACTCTCCTGGGAAAAGGCTCTCATTGTACATTCATGGATTTCAGTTTGTTTTTCAATTAAAAAAATTTAAAAGCTTTCGTTTTAACCTGTGATCAAACCTTTCATTGCACAGTTGTAGATAGACCTATCTAGCTACGTTCAATGAGACAACATGTAAAACATTCAAGACAAGACAGGTGCATAATAAATGTGTTTCGCACCCGTGTTTTCTGTGATGTTCGGATGATCCAAGTTTGATGCTAAGACACTACCACCGCGAAACTTAACTCAGTTTCTGCACATAACGCTGTGTTTGCAGGGCCATGGCTGAGACAAATCACTCAGAGACAGGAAGCAATTTAAAGACGTCCCCCCCCAGCTGTACCTGCCTCGTTCTACTTCAGCCCCGTAAGCCTCTGATTTCCCGCTATTTCAATAGTTACTGGATCTGAGACCATGTGAAATCTCACTGGGTTTCATTTCCCTTTAGGGTGGTCACTTAAGTGGTGAAATTATGTTTCACTGCAGTGGTACAGAACTGAATTTAAAAAAACAAAATAAGATTTGTTCATAAAAGAGATTCCATCCAAATCAACAATATCACAAGTCGCTCAACTGGCCACATAATGTATCCCCCTGGGGGGACCTTCAACACAGGTTTTGTTTCTTTCCTGCGTGGGCTGAGCATCCTACCATGTTTTTTGGCCTGGGCTTTGTAGCTCCTTTCCCAGAAAGCCATCTTCTCAGATCTCTTGCTCAGCTTGTCATTTTCCTAAGAGTTATTGATCCATTAAGGAAATTATTCCTTCAAATGCTACAACATCACTTTCCAGGTTCTCAATTCCCTTTGACTTTGTAGGCCCAATTTCAGTCTTTGCCTTTGGCCTCCGGTTTCCAGGCGAGCTTAGAGAGTCCTTCTCTGCTCCAAGATCACCAAAGCTTCACCCTGTTTTCCTCCAATACTTGTAAAAGATCAGAATGTTTTAATCTTTGATCCACGTGGGATTTACTTTGGGGCATAAAGAGTAAGGAAGTGATCTAGTTTAAAAAGTAAATTTAGCTCTAAAATACAATAAATACAAATGTCTGGATACCATTTATGTAACATTGTTTTAATTTTCTCAAAGAATATTTATAATTAAAAAAATTCAAAGCTCACTTGTTTTCCAATATACATTCTCTAAGCACAATCGATACAGATATGTAACATATGTACGCATGTCTGTCTATGAACAGATACATGTGCAAAAAATTCTTTTCCACAATTCTCTGGAATGTTATATTACAATACGACGTTACTGTCACTATTAAAATACTTTCCCAAGAAGGCCCCGAGCTTGTTTTTCTCATTGTCTCACTTTCCTGGACCTTGAAGATTTCTTTTTCGCTATACTGTATTTTGTTTTAAAAAGTCTCTTTTCGATTAAGCTCACTTCTTCGTGGAGGAAGCAGGTCTCTGTTCTTAGCAGGAAGGAGAAGAGGTTGAGTATAAACTGGTAAGTCAGGGAGAAGTTGGACTCCTCATAGGTGGTCACATGTTTGCAATAGCTGCAGGAAGGAGAGGGGAGCTGGTATCTTTAAGTGGCCACTAAAAGTGTGCACACCCATCCCTCGAACATCCCCCAAATACCTGAACAAGTATATATGCTTAGGCTTAACAGTTATCTGAGCTGAAAGGAAACTTGGAACAATCTGGTAAAACTGCTTAACTTCACAAAGGAAAGCACTTCAGCACCGCCCCTCGCCCCCATGCAAGAGACGCACTCGTGGCACTGGAGCCCAGGGGTCCTGCCACTCCAGGGGGACCTCACTTCTTACCGTCATCAAGGCAAACAGAAGCACACAGGGAGAGATTCTGGACCCATTTTTAAAACAAACACATGAAAACAAATACTCCCCCACGGCCGCCCAAAATAAGACGCCAGGCTTGATCCTGTAGCATTCAGCCCTGTACGTATTATAGGAAGAGTTCACACAGCAATTTCACTTGTTTTAAAGTAGTAGAACCTGAACCTGATCAAGTCTCTGACGACCACCCACCCTCGTACTCTAACTGCCGGCCTCTGACTAACCCCACCGACGCCGAGGCACAGGCAGTCCGGGGACACGGGGCCGTGACGCCGACTACACGGTGTGGGAGGCCGTACAGGGCGCATGACCCGGGTCACTCAGCAGGTGAACTGCAAGGGGGAAGGGAGAGAAGGGAGGGATTTACGAACTAAACCACTTGCGGGTGTCGCAGTGACTTACAACGTATGGATCTCATTTAGATTTTGAGGTATTTTAAAAAGTCCACGACAAGCGGGAAAACCTAAAAAGTAACTGCATGTTTGATAATATTAAAGAATTATTATTAGTTTATGTCTGATTAGTGGTATTATGGCTTTGCTTTAAAAATGTGTATTTTCTTAATCCTCACCGAAGGATGCGTTTTTACTGATTTGAGGGGGGGAGAGGGAGAGAGAGGGAGAAGGAGAGAAACACCGATTGGTTGTCTCCCACACAAGCTGCAGGGTATGTGCCCTGACCTCAAATCGAACCCAAGACCCTTTTGTGAGCAGGAAGACGCCCCAACCAACCGAGCCACACCGGCCAGCAAGCTTTAAAAAGACTCTGCTGTTTGGAATCTGCTTCCAAACAGCCTGGGTGGAGGGTGGAGGGTGGAGGACTGAGGTGGGGCTTTGGTGGAGCAAGTCCAGCCTTGTTGGCAAAGGCTGAGGGACAGGCACAGTCTCCTATTCTCTCTACTTTTGAATAAAGTTGAAATTTTCCATAATAAAAAGTTTAAAGATCAGCATGACACCCTGTTTCTACAATTAGGAAACAGGCCGAAGAGATGGTAAGTAGCTTGCCCACAACCAGCAGGTGGCGGGGCTGGGGCTGCGCAGCTGGGCTCACTGGCGCGGCCTCTGAACCGGGAACAGCCCACATTCAAGTTCTGTGTCAGTGAGGGAATGAGATTCGTAAAGAGACTTTTCGCAGTGAGAAGTCTTCACAACCTAACACCTTTCCAGCTTTACTGGGATATTACTGGCATATACCGTAACTTTTAAGTGCACAGCGTGATGATCTGATGCCTCGGCAAACTGTGAAATGACAGTCACAGGCTGCTCAACACCTCCACCCCAACCTCTTCAGCGAGACTCGACAGGTAATTCCGATTTTCTTTCTTTATGTTTTTTAAAAGAATGTTTTTTATTTTTTTTCTATTTTAGGGAGAGGAAGGGAAGGAGAGAGAGAGAAACATCCCTTGGCTGCCTCCTGCACGCCCCTCCTGGGAATGGAGCCTGAAACCCTGATTGGGAATTGAACTGGTGACCTCCTGGTTCATGGGTCTACACTCATCCACTGAGCCACACCGGAGTCGGAATTAGCTGGGCTAATTCCGATTTTCTTGATTATAAAGCTCACATTCTTCTATTTCTAACAAACAGCCTACCTGGCTCTCATTACAGCCAACTCCTTTAAATTATATGTGACTATTTTTAATCAGAAAAGACTACTACTTCAGGGCAAACTGGAGATTTTATTGTGTTTTCTACCCTTTGATTTCTGGAAGTGTCACTCACCTTTTACAGAACTTCTGTGTACTAAGCCAGTATAGTGAGTTCAAGGTGGTCAGCGACTGGCCTTTCTTCTGCAGGATCCCCTGGAGGCTGTGTCCATGGAAACACATTCTACCTGCGTCTTCTTCAGCCCAGTTGAACTGAAAACTCGAAGGGCTTTTTTTGGCAGGAGCTGGTGTTGAATCCACCAGTGAGCTAAACTGTTTCTGTAGATTCACCACCATTTCTGGAAACGGAGGGAATGAAGTAAAACCCAATGTTAAATCCCAATAAAGTCTGTAGTTCACATGGACCAAGGTTGGCTTCTTAATGTGACAAATGCACCATGAATAACACTAGGGAAACTGCTTAAAAAAGACTGAAATGGTAAATTTTATGTTATATATATTTTACCACATTTAAAAAAACGAGTAAGACAACCTCATGGCAATTCTCCAAACAGAGAGTTCTGTAAGCGATAGGAATAGGGGATTTTGGGCGGGAGGAGCCTCAGCCCTGTGTGCGGTAAGGGCAGCTCCCGCCGCAGCTCCTGGGAGACTCCTTAGAGGCTGGGCCCGGGGACGGGCGCCAAACGCTCCCGCAGGGAGGCATGACTCGTGCGTTCCCGTCTCCAGCCAGGACACCGAGCTCCTCTACAACTGCGATGCGACTTGGCACTAATACGGGACACCAGCACCCACCTCTTCTTTTATACACCACTGACTTGTCGATGGAGGAGTGGTAGAGTGGCTTTTCGCTTTTCCACACGTACCTGTATGAGGGAGGAAAACAGTTGGAGCAGGATGAGAAGACATGGACCTAAACCCACTTCAGAGAAGCTTCTCTGAAGCAGTGTCTGAAATCCTGAAATTCGGGGTAAAAGCTCTGGCTTAGAAGGACCTACTGACACCCGCCTACCGAGCAGCGCGCGGGCAGTGGGCAGGCGCCCGGGAGCGGGGAGCAAGCCCGCAGCGCGGTGCGCCCCTCCCGGGAGCGCCTGGGTAAGACTCCGCGACGCCGCTGCTGGCCACACCCGACGTGGCCCTGCTCCCCTCTGCAGCAGTCCAGAGTGAAGCGCTAGGAAACCACCGCTTCTCCTCGCCTTTGCCCACCTGCCTTGGTGCTGAGAATACGTTAGTGGCTCTGATTCTGAGACGCAGACGAAGTCAACAGTAAGTGCCAGTCTCCTGTCATTTCACGCCTGGAAGTCAGTCCGTCCCCGGCGGGAACGAGGAGACATCTGATTCCAGCACCACGCAGTCCGAATGGTCCCTGCACGACTTAACCTGTCTTCACCCAGGAGCCCGGCCAGGCGGAGCTCCCACGAACACTGATGCTGCACTGAGGCACCCGACACACCTAACGCCCCCCCACCCCTGAGCAAAGACCAAGAGCACGCGGGCCCTTCCAGATGGGGTGACCAGCCGTCACGAGGAAGGGCAGCGACAGGCTGTTTCTAGTTCTAGTGGCCTTGCTGAACCTGGCCAAGCAGCTGCTGCTCTGGGACAAAGAGAACACTTACAGTTCACTTCTAGTCTCATTTTTATTACCTCAAAGTTTCCTAAAGTGGAACGATTTTCCTATTTTACAGAAAAAAGAACTGCTGTCTGTCTGATCCCAGGCCACTTTCTTAGTTTGAAAGGTGGTGTGGCAATCGGGAGAGGCCTGAATCAGAGGACCTGGCTCGACCACTTCCTAGGTGTGACCGTGTGTGACTCATACAGGACAGATCTGGAGGCTCTCAGAGGCTGGGACTGTCTCACCTTCTTTATGTCTCAGATGTCGGCAGTGAATGGCACACTATGGTAAAGACTCATTTAAATAATTGTTGAATAAATGAACAAACGAATTCAACATCTCTAAATCTGTCTACCTCTACAGGGTCGCTGGGAGGAAAAATTAAGATAATGCGAATAACGGTTCTTTAAATCCCATACAATTGTTAGAAGTAATTGTTATCCAGTGCTTGACAAGGGTCTGGCTAGCAGACACTCAAGAAATATCTGTGGAGCCCTGGCCGGTTTGGCTCAGTGGTTAGAGAATCGGCCCCTGGACTGAAGGGTCCCAGGGTCAATTCCGGCCAAGGGCACGTCCCTCGGCTGCAGGCTTGATGCCTGGCCCTGGTTGGCGTGCACAAGCAGGAGGCAACCAGTCGATGTGTCTCTCACATCAGTGTTCCCCTCCCTTCCTCTCTCTCTGAAAAGCAATGGAAAAAAATACCCTCAGGTGAGGATTTAAAAAAAAAAAAAAAAAAATCTGTGGATTTTCTACCAAAAAAAGCTGATAAGGAATAGAAAGTCAGAAGTTTATATATATATTTTAAGTTTATAGTATTCAATAATGGGTAATTTTCGCCATTTTTTTCAATGCTGGGAAAGAAAATGCATATAAGTTAAACATTTTAGTAATATTAGGATAGCAAATGATCATTTTAACCAATTTAAGAATGGAGATTTTCTCAAGGATTTCAAAAAGACTGGATCAGATCAGTAAAATCCTGACTTTATATAAAACAAAGACGTTACTTTTCATTCTGACTTCTTGCGGTGATTTACAATATTAGGAACAGAACTGAACCGTCTCTGACCATCAGGGAGCAGTAGGATGTAATCAGTTAACAGGTGGTGGTCTTCCTGAAAGTTACGTGTGAACTGAATTAGTGAGCCACCCACATCTAAAACAGACAGCTTGTCACTTACCCCCACGGTAAATTAGTTTGTGATTCTTTCAAATACCTTTTTTGTTATTTCTTTTCTTAAGTACTATAAATAACAACATATTCAAGGTAAAAAAATCTCAAATAATAAAGAAGTTCCCTAAACTAAATAGTTCTAATCCCAATCTCTGGATAAACCCACTACTAAAAATTCCTTGTGAACAGCTAATGTAGACAGATTTTCTTTTGCATTTATAACAAAATGCCTGCATAGGTGCAGAGGATGCTACAGTCAAGGAGGTGTTATCAGTTCCCTGGGGTCACATGCCAAAAATATGGGAAAAACAATGTAAAATAACAGCACTCTATTTATAGTTGTTCAGAATTTACTTTCTTACCTCTTTCCTAAACTACAAAAGCTACAAAAAACAGAGACCCAACAACGTCCTAATGTTTCCTAAGGGTGCCACAGAGTCCTGTGTGTTGTGGAAATGAGGGTGTCACTTCACAGTGTTCACCGTGTGCAGTGCAGTCCTGCTGGCTGTGACACAGACGGCCTGTAACCACCATGATTAACACAGCAGTCCTGTCACTCTCCAACTCTCACCTCTTGTCAGTCAGCCCTGCTCCCAAACCCCCAACCTCAGATCTCCAGCAACCACTGGCCTGGCTTTCTGTCCCCAGTTTAGCCTTTTCCAGAAAGTCAGATAAATGGAGTCGCACCATATGTAACCTTTCGAGTCTTTCACTCAGCACAATGCCTTCAAATTCACACACAGTGTTGGGTGTATCAGGAGCCTGTTCCTTCGTTTCCAGTGTAGACACACTACAGTTCATTCATCCATCCACCAGCTGGAGGGCGTCTGGGATGTGGCCAGTTTGGGGCCATTGTGAATGAAGCCATGATAAACATTTGTATATCGACTTTTGTGTGAAATTGTTTTAATTTCATCTGGGTAAATATCTAGAAGTGAAAACTATTGAGCAGTATAGTGAGTGCATGTTTAGCTTTATGAGAAACAGCCAGGCTTCCCTAAGTGTCTATACCATTTTCATTCCCCCAGCTGCACGGTCGGTTTCTGTTGGTTTTGTCTTTTCGCTATTCTGATTGGTGTGGGATGGTATCCCTCGTCTTTTGATCTGCATTTCCCTGCTGACAGCGCCGGACATCATTTCATGGGCTACCCATACATCTTCTTTGGTGAAGGATCTGTTAGAATCTTTAGCCCATTTAAAAAATTGGGTTGTTTTCTCATTGTATGAGAATTCTTTATATATTCTAGATAGAAATCTTTTATCAGCTACGTAATTTGCACATAACGTCTCCCAGCCAGTGGCTTCCCATTCTTCTAACAGTGTCTTTGGAAGAGCAGTAGCTCTTTCTTCTAGTAAAGTCCTATCTGTCTTTTTCTTCTCTGGATCCCACTTAATAACTTCCACCCTGACACATGGAAGATGTTGTACAGAGAACAGAAAGAAAAATTAGAAACTGATGCCAGTGACATGGGTGGAGTGGGTGGAAACAGACATAGTAACGTGTTCAGGGCTTCAAGCCCAAAGGCTGCCAGCGGCGACTCCCACGCCACCTCACCCACCCCACAGCGTCTACTCTATGATGGGGGATCTGGGTAATGGACCCTCTGAAGGATCCCTTCCTGGGGCCAGTGTCTTCCAGGGAAATAACCAGAAACCCAGTGACTAAAGACATTTCCTCTCCACAAGGAAGGGGAGAAGCCGGCTCCTGGGTGTCCACTGCAGAACCATCCACCTCCCACCTGTCTCCTCTGTCATCGCGCATCGAGCACCAGTGGTGAGAAACTGTGACTCTCCTCCCTTCTGACAAGGACCCTCTCCTCTTCTCCACTGTGCTTTATTCAACCCTGGACGTCTGTTTCCCATTTTAAATCTCTCAAATTTAGAGGAAAAAATCTAGTTCTATCTGCAAAACTTGAAATTTAGTTCTTTACATAAAGCAGACATTATTATTCTTACTTATGAGAAAGTTGGAACTGGATGGATTATGTAACTACTTTGAGCAACCTTGGTTTTACTCAAAGGGTTTAAATTATTTGACAAATGAGTATTATAAATTTACATAAAACATAGAGAGATTAACTTTTTCTTCAGTCTCACAGAGACTCCAAGTTCTAAAAACAGAGGAAACTGCTCAAATCAGCAATCAGGAGAAATATGGTCTATATTATATAAGACATAGTATCTGAACATTTATGAGCAAACTAAGTTTCGTTGCTTGGAGGAGGGGAGGTGAAGGAACTTGCCCGGTCACAGCGAGAGGCTGCGCTACAGGCAGGACCGGAGCCCAGCACAAGTCTATGCTCCTTTCACTTCCCCGCAATGGACCTGCATCTGAATGCGTCAGTCAAATAGTGAGGCCGACTAATTAAATACGCTCCCTTTCTGCTTTCCTTTGTTTTGATTTTTATAAGGATCTTTACTTTAGAACATTCCAATTAAAGAAAAAAGTTCACTGGAAAATAGTGGCTGACATTTCCAGAAAAAATGCTGATGAGTCTATACTGGTGAGCTTCCTTCTTCAAATGTAATGTAACAGGCCTGGAAATAAGCAGGTGAATCTAAAACTGGAAGAGATTACATACTTTGCCCTGGCTTCCTCCCATTTCTGTTTTTTCTCATCAAAAGATTTCTTCATAACCTGGTACCATTTTCTGAAATCAAACCATGGCTTCTCTGGGAAAAAAAAGAAAAGAAAGAAATCCATGATTATTAACCAAATAAGCCACATTATAATAATATACATTGCCCATCTGAATCTTCATTCGTTGACATAACTAAACATTCATCTAAGAGCCCTTGGAAATTACAGATGAAGTCGCTTCTCCGGACTCTCACATGACTCCTGAATCAGCCACTCCCTCCTCTGAGCTTCTACCGATATCACGGCCCCAACCAGATGATGCCGAAACTGTCCTTTTCTGTGTCTGTTTCTCCTAGATTTGACTATTTACCTCCTTGAGAACAGAAGACATACTTGTTTGTCGCCACACAATCAGGCCCCTCCTCCCAACGCAGCACCCGCCCAGAGCCGGCACACATGCCCGTGCCTGAGGTGACCAAGGTAAGGGGAGACGGTAACACGTGTGAAATGGCACCAGAGTAGCTGAGCCCAGACTCCAGCATTGTCAGCTCCTGCCCCTGCTCCTCCTACTCGAATCCAAATCCAGAGCTTCTAGGGCTGAGTGAGAAAGTGACTGCACCGACAGCGGGTGTGTGGCTCCACAGCAGTCATGGCTGGAGAGGCGACAGAGTTGAGTGTCGTTGAGCACGGCCTCTCCTCACTCTCTATTCCCTCTACGTGGGGACATGGGGAGAGCAGGGAGGGAAAAGTGAAAGGAGAGCAGAAAAGAGGACCACAGAGGGAGGGCCGGCAGAGGAAGGCCGACAGGCCGACAGGGACGGCGAGTGAAAGGCTATGTTCTCCATATTCTCTAATGAAGATGGTCTCCCGCAATGTCCAGGTAAAAACCTTTCAACTGGCCAAAATAACCATCACTGAACCCGAGACAGCCTTGCAGGCCACACAGCACTGAGGAGCGGCAACCACCAGAGAGCTAGAGATGGAGGGAAACAGTACCGACCACTAGGATACAAGGTCCCTGACCTTAAGTCACCTTCTCTGAGGGGCAAGTTCCTCATGAGTGACAGTGACGAGGCAGGATGGTGGGCAGGGGAGCAGAAGAATGGAAACAACCCTGCCTGCTGACAACTCAGGTCTGAGGCTCAGAGGGAGATTCACGTCAAAGTGCTCCGATTACTCTGAGCAGCTATAGTCTAGGGCGACCCTTTAGCATGAGAAGGGACACTAGGGGCCATCTCAGTCACGTTCATTCTGTGTAGGAGCCAACAAGAATATGGAAATAACACACAAACCACTGAACATGCACACGGAACCCTAAAGAAGTGGAGCTCCTAGGAGGAGAAGCATGGCTGCCAGGGGCTGGGGGTGGGGAATCGGGATAGTCTGGTCACAGGTACAAACGTTCAGCCATAAGGTGAGTAAGGTCTGAGGCTCTAGCGTAAGAGGTGACTGTATTGATAACACTGTGCTGTATAGTTGAAATTTGCTAAGAAAGTTAAACTTAAATGTTTTCACCCCCCCCCCCCC